CCCGTGTTTTGTTCTCACAGACACCCGGTAGCAAGTAACAAAACAACATTAAATTCCGGCAAGAAGATAAAGTCCTTTTTGCAAAATCATAGACATGTATTACAAATCAAGTATAATGGGAACACAGAATGATCTTGGAGAGAGCTTTACCGAGCTGACTGCTGTAACCGAACAGGACCAGGGTTTAAAGACTGAATGAATGACTGACAGCCACAGCGGAGAAAAGAGTTTGTGTGAACTTTAATGTAAGGACTTAAATATTCATATGTAGCTCACATTAAGCTATCGTATGGATTCAGAAGTAACACAGAATAATTCGCACAATCGAGAAAAAATAAATAAATAAATCTCGGATTTGGATCAGCTCTCTCTGACCGATACCCGATCCGAGAAAAATGGCACTATCGGAGCCGATACCCGATATGAATATCGGATCAGCACATCCCTAGTATATGTAAGGTGGGAGGAGTTGGATCTGGATCCAACCTCGCCCCCTGGATCTTGTGTTCTGCAGTGAGGACCATCTCCATGCGTCTCCGAACAACACAGTGGTGTTTAGTTTCTGAATGTCTGAATGAATCCGTGTTTTGAACGAATCGTGTTAACCAATGATTCAAAGCCCCATTCATAGAGAGAGCGGTTTACTGAATTCCTGAATGCTGTTTGAACGAATCGACTAAAAAAATAAAAACATTTACCGCCACCTGCTGGTAGTTTTAGTTTCTTCTTTAGAGTATCATTTCATTTATTAAAAAAACATAAATAAAAACATTAAAGGAATAGTTCACCAAAATAAATAAATATATTCTGTCACCATTTACTCACCCTCATTTTGTTTCAAACCTGAATGACTGACTTTCTTTTGTACAACATAAAATAAGTTATTTTGAAGAATGTTGGTAACTAAGCTGTTTTGGTCACCAGTGACTTTCATTGCATGAAAAAAAAATACTGAGATGTTTCTCAAATTATCTTCTTATATATATATTCCATACTTTATGTTAGGCTGTTGTAGCCTAAACATTTAACACAATAATAGCTTTAAATTATCCTTTGGGGGTATTTCCACAACCAAATTTAGTTTGCGATTAATTAGATTAATTAATCGCAGCACCCTGTAATTAATTAGATTACAAATTTTATTCATTATTTATTTGATCAAAGATAGTTAAAACAGTAATATTGTGAAAATTTATTCAAATAACTTTTGTATTTTAATATAATTAATATAGATATAATTTTTGTAACATTATTTATTTACTGTACTTTTGATCAATTTAATGTGTCCTTACTGAACAAAAGTATTAATTTGTTAAAAAAAAAAAAAATCTGACCCCAAACTTTTGAATGGTAGTGTACATGAAATCGGACAGTGGTGTTAAAAGTTGAGAAAAAAACAAGTATAATACGCTAAAAAAATATAATGTATAATAATAATGTCCATTTATTAAATGAAAATGATACATGCAAAATACTACATTTTTTAGCTACTGCTGGACAGATAATCTCTTTTATAATGTGCTTTCTATGTTTTCAACAAATTCAAATGCTTGTAACAGGTTTGGTTCACGGCTTGTAACTCTTTAACCAATACTTTTTAAAATCTTCTAGGAAAAATGAATGGGAAATTAATGAATTATTTTTTTATCAATACTTCAATACTGCATACCAGGATTGCTTAGAGAGCAGCATAATTAAGTTTGGAAAAGCCTTTAACACACCCAATGACGCCTTAAAATGCTGTCTATGTAAGCAGCTTACTAAAATACAATATTTACAATACATTGCCAATAAAGCCTTACAAAACAGTCAAGCAAACACATTAAGGGATTCAAAGCTGCCATTCCTTTAGTAAACACTCATGTCGTCCGCCCTCAATATTGTTAGTTCACATTACTCAGAAACTAAATATGAGCTCAAAACCACTGATAAAAGCTATTGTCTCAGAGCAAACTTTCTTTAAGAGATGAGCTCTCCTGAGAGGTCCATACACACATCCCTGGTACAGATCGGTGAACCATTCACACGGGACCAAGAAAACACGCAGAAGACTTTTCAATGAAAGCCCCTCCTTATCGTCGTGCTGTCAGTGACACGGTTTGAGCGGATGGGCCTCCAGCTGTACTAAAGCCTGCTCTGTCTCAATGGAGTCATTCTGAGAGGTCAGCATGACATCATGGCCGCTGTCATTGGCTGGCAGCGGCTGAAAGGCTGTACTGTCACCTGTGGTAATGAGTACTGCTTGGAGCCGGCCGGGTCAGAGAATGAGACAGATTCTCTTCCTTTCCGTGCCATTCTGTGTGAATGAAGAGCTAAAAGCACTCGGGTAATACCAACTGTCAGAATGTTATCTGAGCAAGGCCTGAATATATCAGCAATGTCAAAGAGCCAATAAAGTTTGATAAAATGCCTGACACAGATGATGATATAAAAGTGGTGCATGTAGAAAGTTGACTAAGTAGTGAATCATAAATGACAAAATAAAGGTAAACATACCTTCTGAATCCTTAATATTCTCTGAAACAATTGGTCAAGTGCCGATCCAAGACATTGTTTTTTTTAAATTACTACTAATAAACAATTTCACAAACTTTAGTGAGTTCGTAATAGCAGAATGTCTCTCAAAGGACTTAATTAGTTGCCAAGCATTAAGTAAGACAAATGGCCTTTGAACCCTGAGACTAAAGACTGTCTGGCAACGTCAGCTTTTGTTTGCGGTCACACTCAGCTTTGAAGAATTGTTTGGTTCGCAAATACACAAACTATAAAAAGCAGCTGGAATGCTCTGGTTGTGTTTTTGTTCGTGAATGAATCAGTGACTCATATCTGGGACAAATTTGGAGGAAAAAAGATAAATCAGCTTTGTTGTCATTTTGGGAAAAATGCAAAGTGATGCTTAGTCGCTAAGAAATGGAAGTAGCGACATATTTTCTTCCATATTGGGATGTACATCCAGTGTAATGGATTATAAGAAAAAAAAAAACTGAAGGGCAGGTGTTGATTGGTTGTTTGGAAGTGGCCGTTGCACTCAAAAGAGCAGGGGGTGGGATTTAAGCGGACTGAATGACTGGAGAAGACCTACATACATCATCATGGAGAAGTCTGTCGTTTTCACCAGAGTATCTAATTATGACATTTTGATTTCAATTTCCATACACGAACAGCAGTACATCAAATAAGCCTCATGTGCACTTATCCAGTATAGTCGAGATAAAACTGAAGCAGCAACAGATTTTTTCCTCCATATACTGTGATGTACATCCAGGTGTAACAAAATACCAAAACAGAAAAACGTTGGGCTGCTTCAGTTGTTGATTGGATTTTGTGATGAGGCACATAAATGAGAGCCTAAAGCCCCGTTCACACCAAGAACGATAACTATAAAGATAACTATAACGATAACGATATTAGCGTCCACACCAGCGAACGATATCGTCTGTTTAAGGGCCAGAATTTAAATTGACTAAATTAATTGTTCACAATAACCTTCCTAACATGCATTTATTAAACATATAGGGTGAATTTTCTTTTCATGCCAACAGTACGTCAATTAATCATTTCAGTGAATGATTCAATGACTCATTCATAGAAAATATGCATATTTGAATACAAATAGACATGTTTCAGTGTCCAAATATCCATAGTACTTCCATACTTTACAGTATCCAAAAAGTAGTATGTCAAATGAGTATTATGTCCCTTTATGCAGTATTCATAAAACAATAAGTGTAAAATATCCAGATGACCTAAACTAATTCATGAATGAATCTTTTAGTGAACACAAAGATTTTATTTAAAGGGATACTTCACACAAAAATGGAAATTTTGTCATCATTTACTCACCCTCATGTCATTCCAAACCTGTATGAGTTTCTTTCTTATGTTGAAGATAACATATATCTTAAGTTTTTGTACTTCAAAATTTATCGTTTAATTCCATGTGTTACTTGCCGTTTCATTGCAATTTTTTTATGAAACTTACTAGTAATGTCTCAGTGAGAATGCTTCTACATCATTTTTAGTGTACAGTGAAAGATAACTTACAAATTATTAGAGGATAACAGTAAAATAAAAAACAAAGCGAGAGAAATGCTGCTCATCTATAAAAAGTATACCATCTTATGCATCGTACACCCTACGTACGTCATAACGTCTCGTGACGTCATAGCGTGGAGACGCCACTTCAAAGCCCTCGAGTGAAACACGAGACGACAATCACAAGTTAAAGCAAACACACATGCGCTGCTTACAAGCATGAACAGGTAGACGTCCACGATAACGGTTTACATTCAAACGTGCAAGTTATGTGAACAGCCGACGTCCAACATCGCAAAATATTCGTGCCTAACAAGACTCGCCACAGACATGGAGTCTGTGGCACTTAAAAACTAATCCTCTAATTTTGCACTGACTCGCTAAGCTTTACCCGAACAGCTTTCAAACATAGAACCCGCCCCTAAAAGCCACAAAAGTAAAAACATTGTCTGCTTTCCCCACTGTCGATGCATTTCAGGCTACATGAACAGCATAGGGTAACGTACAAGTTACGACGCATATTTGTTCGTAGGCGTGTTGTAGTCACAACTATGCGTACTTAACATCACGCACTACAAAATTGAGTGTGTACTTCCATTTCGCCGCTCCCTAATGTAGGCCGTACACATCAAACAACTGACTTCAAGAGGCTATTAATCGAGCTAAAACAAAACCGCAAGTTAGAAATCCGACAAATATGAATAAATGAAAATACATTTACGGAAATGACAGTACAGCGACAAAGAGCGATGCAGGAACGAGCACAGCTGCGTATAACGGTACTTACTTTTAGCAGTACGTTAGTGCGAAACACAAGGGTGCGAGCAGATGAGATGAGAGGAGATGAGATGGATTTAGCAAAGGTGCATGAAAGTGGGTGTATTCTCGCAGTTATTCAGGGCAATCTGTACAATTGTGTGCGTTCTTCATAATCCATAATCCAGTCTGCCTGCATAGTTTTCTTAAATCCCCGTAATAGGACGCCAAGGGAAGTTTGGCGTTAAACTGACTTTCAAACTCTTCCACTTTTGGGTGTTTTCCTCCGCTTCGTTCACTGTTGGTTTTAATCGTATATTTGTCAGTCCACCGATAAGGAATGCACACAGCTCAAACTATATACTTTTTTCAACACTTTTCTCCTCACATATCCGAGTTGAAAGTGTCCAGACGTACTTTCACCGGGAGTTGTTCAGAGGCAGGCGAAATTGGCGAATGAAAGAGTGAAGAGGAGGGCCAAAAACAAAACCCCACGAGGGCGGGGCAGATGCTATTTAAGGTGACGTTTAACTGCATGTGCGTTATGACGTGTTAAGCGTGACGCAACCTTTGAGGAAGCCCTGATGCTGACTGTAAATGCCAGATGTAAAATAATAGGAGTGATCGTTCATGCTTCTCAATTGCTCAGTTGATAGTTGATCTGGAAGTACGTACATTAAGAACCATAACTGCATAGATTATAGAGTAGCTTAGTCTTATTTAAAACATGATACATTTGTTAGCCACCAAAACAGAACTGTCTGCAATTAATATTAGTTATGACAAAATTAAAGAAAGTGTTTTTTTCTGGTTAAGTATACAGTGTGTTGTATATATATACACTTATGTATTTTTTTTTCTTATACATTTGTCTGTTGTGAATTTTTAAATCCAGAAGAGTACATAACATTCAAATAATTATTGTCTTCATTATGCATGTCTCTGATTAATAAAACAGAAAATTTAGTATAGTACAACTTTTAATTATTAAAATTCACAGGATATAATGCAGTGGAAACCAAGAACAGTTTTACACTAAGTGTCTATTAAAATAATTTGTGATGAAGTTCATGCAGCCACTATAAAGATGCCGAACTGTTCATACTCGCCTTTGTTAAAGCCAATAGTATGAAGACTTTTAGCACACACAGAGGATGTTGTTAAAAATAAGGGGTGAAAATATGTTCTGCTGCAAGTTGGTAACAATTATATATACAGTATATATCATACTTAATCTGAATTTTTATGCATCTGAAAATATCCAAAATACACACAAATTCATTCCCGTAATCTCACAGACACAAAAATATTGTTTAAAATTTTATTCAAATTTTTTTTTTGTAATTGACAGGTTGTGAAACAACAGTTGAAGAAAATAAATAGAATAATAATAATGATTGTTCATTAATGGTAAATCTGTAAATAAAATGTCTAAAAATACATGGATTCATCAGAACATGTGCCAATGATCCTCTATCTTCATAAATAATTTAAAAAATGTCCTCCATCAAGAAATAGATAAATTACTTGCAAAAAAAGAGATAGAAATCACTTTCCCTAAATAATAATGATAATAATAATAATAATAATAATATCCCAAACATTTAAATCTTGACCTTCATTTTAAAAGCATGATATATACAGTGAAATACATTTTCATGAATCTTCTCGAATCATTCACAAATAAAAAAAAAAAAAAGAAAGAAAAACTAACAAACCTAAAAATAAAAAACTCTAACAACAGCCTCTCTGTGATAAACTATATTCAGTCACTATAGGGAGGTTCGCAATATAGGACCAGCATCCTATACCTCAGGTCATTTGTTTCCTTAAGTATTAAAGATGAAGAACTATGTATAACTGGACTCCGATTAGAGACCAAGAGCAAATCCTTCAAAACTCCCAAAAGGACATTCTTTCTCTATCTACCATATACCTCCCATGATTCTTTGCTCTGATCACACTGACCCAGTCCCACCCTCCCAACCGTTTCGATATGACTACACATAGTCCCCTTCAAATTTCTATATACATATTTTAGATTGCTGCAGAAAGACTTTAATAGTTCATAGTTCCTTTGAACCCAGAAGTGAAACTAGTGTAGTACTGACATATTTGCATTGGTCCCATTTGTGTGTGTGTGTGTGTGTGTGTGTGTGCAGGGCATAGATGTGTGGGCCGAAGGCAGAAAGGTCATGACCCACAAGCACACGGCACAACAGCGTGTGAAGCAGAAGAGCGAGTGGTGTTGCGTTGCTGATTGGCCCTATATCGTATACTGTTAAGGTAGCAAATCATTCTATTTAACCTGCACTTTGTGCGACAAGTCAGTCTTTGTTATTAAATGTATATGTTTGTTTAAATAATCTCGGTAGGTTTTATACTGTAGTTTTGTGAAAGTTGTTGGTCCCGTAATTTGCAGTGGAGGAAAAGTGACTTGTAATTGACTCCGATAGTCCTCTCCTTTCTTCCCTGTGAGAGGAAAGAAAACGAAAACAGCAGTTAAAAGCAAGTCATATAAACACAAAAAACACTCCTACTTATTTCACAGAGTTAACACTATTGTGCATTTGGGAAGGTTATCTAAGGCTATGTCCACATTGATCTGGATAAATGTGATCTTTTTTCGTCCACACTAATAATCGGAATTTTCTTGCATCTGAAAATATCACAAATACCTATTTTGGTGCAGCAAAAACAGCTGTTTGAAGATGCTCTCCCAAGTATATAAATTTGAAAACGTTGTAGTGTGGACTGTGATAATGGAGGTATGTTTAGTTATGTGACACATATTGTACACATATATATCTAGGGTTGTACCAGCATTGTTGTGCCTTGTATTCACTTTAATAATATTGCTAAAGATAAATGCCTGCAAAGATGACTGAATATTACTGAATAAAGATGACCGATTTTGAACGTGCCGTGGATGCACCAGACAGTGGTAGGATATTAGGGGCTTTCGCACCGCATAGTCTTAGGAACTCAGCTCTAGGAACTAGCCAGAGCATGGTGGCTCCTACAGAACCAATTTCTCCCTCGGGCCGATTGCCTGGTTGCATTCGCACTGGCAGCAGGAACTCTGAAGCAGCCAACAGTGACATCTTTATTCACGGCATTTACAAACATCAACAGCTGGTCAATGGAGGACACAGTGATCAGAGCTGATTTTGTGGTGTGTGGTGGGTTTCGTGATAACGGAGATGGAATGTAAACAGACAATTTACGCAACTGAATAGGGCTGCACAATTAATCGAAATTCTAATCGCGATTACAATTACGGATGCCACAATTACGTAATCGTTTAAAACGGCAATTAATCGTTCAAAGTCCACTTATGTTATTCTGCGTGCTTAAGATGCGTTTTTTTTCTTTCTACATGTTATCTTAAGGGTTTTTCCCATTATTTTAATTTTAGTTTTAGTATAACATTATAATACCATTCATATTTTAACTTTTTTTTATAATTTAAAGAAGAAACCAATCTGATGTATATTTGACATTTGAGGCTTAATACTATAGAAAAGCACTAAAGGTTTTTCAGTTAGAGTGTTTTCAGCTTGTTTATTTTCATATAAAAATACGGCATGCAGTCGCATCAAACAATGGTATAAACATTATATATCAAATATAAATTGTGATAATCGTAATTAATAATCGCAATTACAATTTCAAGGGAATAATCAACGATTATGATTTTTGTCATAATCGTGCAGCCCAACAACTGAAAGAGCTAAATCTCCTATGACAACTTGCAGTGTTACATATCATGGAGGCTGAGAAAAACACAATGCTGCAGACAACAGGTTAAAGCCATTGTCGCTGTTTTCCATGTTCGTGGAGTAAATATTTTTACGTGGCTTTTTAAAAATGCCGGGTAGCCAGTGTTTCGTATGCTTTTGGTCAATCTGTGTACACTTACGTCACTGGTAGTTCCTATAGAACTGTTTTAGGAGCTAATTTAGTTCCCCCAAACGCAGTTCCTAGAACCAAATACGTTTCTAGTTCTTGCGGTGCGAACACGCCAAAAAGCGGGAACTTCCGCCAACAGTTCTAGGAACTATTAAAAGGTTCCTCCGAAAGCCCCTATTTACTACTAAAATGACAGTGCTAGAATAACTTTATTATGTCTGGTCTTAGTAAGCGTTTATGGTGTTTTACGTGAGCACAGCAAGGGAATTCAAGCATTTTCAGGTGAGCAACTTTTGGAAAACACTTAAAAATTCTAGTGTGGACGGAGAGCATTTGAAACGCATTAAATCCGTATTAATGTGGACGTAGCCTAATGCTTACCATTCTATACTTCCATGCAACCTACAATGTGAATCAGTGAATGGGGTTTTTATGCAAGTGTGTGTTTCTGTGTTAGTGATCGTTTAGAGTGGGGAAACATTTCTGGCAGGCAAACAAATTTCCAACATGCACCATAGGAATTCTGGGCTGTATTGTGTTCAGCTGGAGACTTAACTGCGTCTTTTTTGAGTGCTCAGACGAATGACTGAATATAAATGAGCAAGTATAGGTTTTCTATTATAACCCAGAATTCCTACAGAGGAATGCTGTTCTTTGGTCGGCACAATGCGTCACTCGTTTCACCATAACAACCACAAAGTGTCACCTCAAACCTCAGCGTGAGAGGTTTGAGAGATATAATGAATGAAGTTCCCTACCTCTCGTTCGCTCTCACGCTCAAACGCACGGATCGTTCGCCTCATTCACGCAAGCACGTACACAAGCTCACTCGTTGGCACGAAACAGCATATCCACTAGCACAAACGCTCTCGGAATCAAATACAACCACACTGAGACCCCCCACCCCACATTCACAGTAACTATAACACCACCAGACTACATATGGGAGTATTTTGTATAAGAAATAGAGTCATGACCAAACAAAACACAGAGGAGACTGATCAAAAACAAAATCCACCCAAAAGCAGCACATTGAGCTGGTTGATTAGAGTTCAATAGGATCAATTGAGTTTGAGTAACTCCATTAGCTACCGGAGTTACGTTAGGAGAAAATCAAAGATTAGTGTCAGTTATTGATCAGTATTTATAAAACAAAAATAGAGAGAGAGTCACAACGCACCAAACACAGTCCATAGTCACCACGGTAACCCGCCATGCACTCTCAGCATGGAGGATACATGACAAAGGGCCAAAAAACAAAACTGCTAATGGCAACCATCACAGGCAGGAATATCTCCACAGCAACCAACACAGGCCAATCAACTTACAAACCAACGCTGTGGGAGGAAGGGGGAGCTTTATTGGATGCTAGGCCACCGTAGCCATACCGACGTGGTCTCCGCACGAGTTATGATTGGACGGGGCAGCCTTGGTGTGGATGAGGTTGTGTTTGTTTGTATGATTGTTTTTTTTTTGGTTTTTTTTGGTGAACAATGACACAGCACAAAAACAATAAATGAAAGTAAAAATTAATGAGTGTTTTTTTTTTTCTTTCGGCTTCTAATGCTGATGAGTTACTCTTTAGGTTACAGTATTTAATTATACATCATTAGGTCAGTGGTAACAAGTTTAATAAGTCAAAACAGGCTAGACTGGTTAGTTTAGAACAGCTCACAAAGCATAATACTGAGAGATTTAATGAAGAGGCACTCGCTTTCCTCACCTGTTCGGCTCAGTATGGGCGGTTGGCATCTTTAGGCCTCTTCAGCTGAACTTTAAGCCTCTTCATGCCGATCTGAAAGCCGTTCATGGCCTGGATGGCAGCCTGAGCGCTCGCCGGGTTGTCGAAGCTTACGAAACCTGCGGTGTGAGGGACGTGACCAGCAACAAGAAAGAAATAGAAGATGTAAATGCTGTGGAGGAAGTGCTTCGGTAAATGAGTCACTGATGATTCCCTTGTCATTTCAACAGAGTTTTAATGGTAAACTACGGAGAGGTATGACAGACTAATTAAATAAATACATAATTATATAAGTCATGGAATGCAATAAATAAATTGCAAAATACAATTAAATGTATGCATAAATAAGGCGTGAAATACATATTTTTGTGTGATAGGAGAAAGTGACAATTTTCATTTCAAAGCATATTTCATGTCATTTTTCATTTTAAGGCATATATGTGACCCTGGACCACAAAACCTGTCTTAAGTCGCTTGGGTATATTTGTAGCAATAGCCAAAAATACATTGTATGGGTCAAAATTATTGATTTTTCTTTTATGCCAAAAAATCATTATGACATTAAGTAAAGATCATGTTCCATGAAGATATTTTGTCAATTTCCTACCGTAAATATATCAAAACTTAATTTTTGATTAGTAATATGCATGGCTAAGGACTTAATTTGGACAACTTTAAAGGCGATTTTCTCAGTATTTTTATTTTTTTGTACCCTCAAGATTCCAGATTTTCAAATAGTTGTATCTCGGCCAAATATCCTATCCTAACAAACCATACATCAACGGAAAGCTTATTTATTCAGCTTTCAGATGATGTATAAATCTTAATTTTACCCTTATGTCTGGTTTTGTGGTCCAGAGTCACATATCATGTTGTATTTTAGGTTTTCATGTTACATAAATTCATTTCACACCCAATTTATTTATTTGTACTTTTCATTATGCTTACATTTATTGAATGTAACATTGATGTATTTATTTATTATTACGGCATTTTTCGTTTCATATTTGATGACATTTTTTATTTTAAGGTGTATTTCACATTCTTTTTCATGTTACATGAAAAATCAATAAATATTAGAGATGCACCGATTGCAATTTTCTTGGCCAATTCCGATTTCCGATTTTTTTGTTAGTGTGATCTGCCGATACCGATTTTTGCCGATTCCGATTTTCTTTCTAAGAACTATAATTTTTTAAAAACTAAATACAGATTAATGCTTACCATTAAAGTTATAAATGTATTCAGTCAAGAGCAGAAAATTATTTTCTTTGTTCTTTGATTAACATGACAGACAGCAGCATAAATATTGGACTGCGGTCCCTTTAAGAGTTTATCCATGGACCCAATATACTGTTACACAACATGCGTTCTCTTTCTCAACTATTTAACAATCCAAAACATAACTGATACAAAACTGTTTAACTGGATACTCGCCAAGATGGGCATTTTGACAATTTTGTATGTATTTGAACGTTTTAGCGCAGTTAGCCACTCATTTTGGTATTTGTGGCTCACAAGCTGTTTGAGACTGAGCGTGGATTGTGCGCTCCACTAATATAGATCAGTGGTGGTGCGCGCGTGTTTGGGATAAGTGCAAAACCTGCGGGAATGACTAAAATAATGCACAATACAAGCACTATTTAACCGGAGCGAATGAGACGTGTGTGAGAGAGAAGGGGTCGTCGGAGAGAAGAGAGTGAGAATGCATGGCTGATGTTATTGCCTGTGCCGCTGGTAACAGAATGGATCGGCCCGAAATCAGAAAGAAGTGAGATTGACCGGCCGATCACCGATCCGGGCCGATCATGAGGAAAATCGGCCGATTCCGATCCCTGGCCAATCGATCGGTGCAGCTCTAATAAATATATTTCATGCCTTATTTATTTATGCTTACATTTCATTGTATTTCAGATAGTCCTTTTTCATGCTCTATATATGGCTTTTGGAAATCACTCACCAAAGCATTTGCTCTGGTTGGTGGCGCGGTCAACGAACACCTTGGCTGAGATGACGTTACCGAAGGGCAGAAACATCTGCAGCATCTCAGAGTCAGTGAACTCCTGAGGAAGATGATAAATAAAGATATTGCAGCCTTCTGGGCCTGGAGAGAGTAAGAGGAGAGAAGATATGAGACATTGGCAAGAGCAAAGGAGGAAATTAAATACATCAGACCACACTGTTACACATGTTTCAGTCTAATTCTTCTATCATAAAAAGGAAGTAACCATGTTGATTCCTTAATAAAACATTTTTGTGGCGCAGCATGAGATTCGGAGAACAATGATTGAGAAATGTGTTCAATAATAGTCTAGGGAATAATCAAAACAGGATGTCAGTGGTTATAGTAGCCAGTTGAACAGGAAATGACATCATTACCTTCTCGTTGTTGCAGCTGCTGCAGCTGCTGTGGCTGTTGGGCGACCAAAGTGTGCTGATGTGGAAATGGTTGACCGACCAATCCATAAGCAGCAGGATACGTAGCTGTGGGTGGAGTAATGAAGTTAAACATGAGATCAGGATAAAGTAATCTATTCAAGTGCCATTCCACAGTCTGTTTTTGTTGTTTTGAGCAGATCAAATCTTGAGGAAGACAAGCTGCATTTGCCGGCCATGCTGTAAAAATAGCCTAAATCAACTCAGCTAGAGACTAGCTTTAATTAGTCTTTGATTAAACCTCAGTAGTGAAAACAACTACTGACAGTATTGGGAATCCCATCAAATCTTTGTTTTCGTTTAGGGAAAACAATTTTCTTTTGTTGGAAAAGAGAGTACTGTATTTCACATTCTTCACTTTTGACATATTTCAAATAGAGATTCAAGAGTTCAGAAGCCTCACCCGTGTAGTGTTGCATGCCTGTATACGCCTGCTGGAGAGGATCCAATACAGGACTCTGAGCTGAAGTATAGATAAATATTGAAAACAAACAGAAGAAAAGCAGTGATGAATGAGACAATAATAATGGTAATGGTAATAAAAATACAAAAAATTGAGTACTTTGAGTATTAGTTTTATTTAAAGTCCATGTAAAGCAATATTAAATGTGTGTTCTGAGTTTGTCACACCACAGAAAAATGTGTTCTTAACCACACAGCCAAATTTGAATGATAAAAACCACTAAGTAAATAAAATAAGGTATCAAAATCTTGAAAAAATAAGCAGTATTCTCTGCTCTCAAACACTGGGGGCGTGTCCGCTGTCAGCACTAAAACCACGCCCACTCGTGGAAAAGCTGCCGTCTCGCTCAACCAGTGTTGCCAAGTCTAAAGCGACTCCAATAACGTGATATTTAGCCTCTGGAATGCAAATTGTACCAGGGGAACCCTGCCAAAAAAAAAAGTATTTTACCCCCCGGAACGCAATTTTTTACCAGGGAACCCTTCTCGAAACGCGATTGGGCGGGTTTTGTTGCGAAAACCCAACAACCCTGCTCTCAAACTTCAAATACCGCTACAACCTGAATGGATGCTTCCTCTAGCAGCTTAATTTAAATAAGGAGACCGAGCTGTATTGCAGGCGAACCACTGATGCTAATGATTTTAGTCCCGCCCAAAAAAAACCTGAACATGGTGAAAAACTGTTTAACGGTTTAACTTCACAAGTTCGCAGTCTTTGTAACATGTTTCAGCAAAGCATTTCTAACATTAATAATGAGTTTAGAAAAAATTCTCAGAATTGACCTTACTCGGACTTTAGCAAGGATTATACCTAATAAATCAAGCGAAGCAGAAATCGTGAAAACATTTAAAATACGATTTCTCATGCAGCCCTACAATATAGTATAATAAAGAATAAAGACTGGAGGAGCTATCCTCACCCTGATACGGATGGACACCATTGGTGTAGAGGGTTTCAGAGGCAGAATGGCCATTGGTTAGTGCAGGGACTGGAGGGTAACTGCTGACTGCGATTTGCGGAGGCAGAGCAGGCACAGATGTAGCAGCAATGGTTGGAGGAGTGTTCGTACCTAAAGCAGAACGACAATTACAAATACTCGAATAAATCCAACTGGAATGGGAATACTAAATATAAACTGCTTTTTGTAGCAGACTGTCATTTACCTGAGGAGGGTGTGATTGAGGCGATGGGTGTGGCTATGATGCTGCTGGGATTGAGAGCAGCCAACTGCTGCATCTGCACTGCAGCAACCGTCGCAACGGGAGACAGATATGCGGACTGAGCCACCAAGGCCTGCTGTTGGACGAGCTGGATGGGACAAAACAAGGAGTGAATCCAAAGGACTATGACACATCAAGCTCTGACTAAATTCAAGTACTGTGCAGGGGTTGTACAGGGGTTATTAGGTCAATGCCATTTCAATTAGAACTTCCTGTGTGCAGAACGGAACGGAAAGTAATTATGGAAGTATTTCTGGTACCAAACCTAATGCAATTTCCAGTTATTGCTATAATCCCAACTCAATTTCATCCCAATGTATTTTCTGTGAACTAAATCCCATAAAAGTGGATAAAACACACTTAAACCACATGTAAAGTATAAAACTCATTGCGTAATAGAAACAAAAAAAGGAAACCTATTAGAATTAAAAGACAGAGACTGTTCAAAATAAAGTCAAAAATATTTGCTTCCTCAATGGACATAAAGATGCTGGTAGGATTATAAAAATTATTTAATGTTTAATTTAATCTGTAATCTTATTCAGTTCATGTCATATGCACTACTGTTCAAACATTTGGGTAAGATCAGTAAGGATTTTTAAAATGGTTTTCAAGTCTCTGATGCTCACCAAGGCTGCATTTATTTGACCCAAAATACAGTAAAAACAGTAATATTGTGAAATATTATTACAATTTCAAATAACTGTTTTGTTATTTAATATATTTTCAATATATTAGCATCATTACTCCAGTCTTCATGTCACATGATCCTACAGAAATCATTCTAATATGCTAATTTGCTGATCAAGAAACATTTGTTGTGCTACTTAATATTTTTTGTGGAAAATGTGATTTACTTTTTAAAGATTCTTTTATATTGAAATTAAAATAGAAATCTTTTGTAATAATGTACAAGTCTTTACAAGCATTCATTTCTGACTCCAAACTTTTGAATGGTAGTGTAAGGCTACGTCCACACGAAGCCAGAGCTTTCCCTATCCGATCTGTTTTTTCTCCTCGTCTCAAGAAATATCTGCATCCACACGAAACCACGAAACCGATACAAAACTATGTAGTATACATGCCAGACCAGCATGTGGCGCTGTAATTCTGCCACAGAGATACACTAAAACGGAGAAAAAGACTTGGACTACGCGCATAAACCTTGTGCGCGGTATACAAACGAACATGGAACAATACATTTATTAATCTGTGTTAATGTTAGTTAATAAAAAAGACAATCGTGCAGTGTTTGTTCATGTTTTTGTTGCCGTTACGTGATGTAGCGGTGTCTGATTAGGGGCGAGACGTGGGCTGATGACGTCATCGTTTCAGAAACTATACGGATCAGTGTTGCCAGACGTACGATAATTATCGTATTTGTACGATAATTTTGACCTCTGTACGAAGTACGATCAATAATGAAAAAAATCCCATAATGTACGATAATTTCGAAATTTCAGAACGTGTTTTTTCCAAAGTCAACCTCATCAAAACAAAGCCATGAAATCGGCTCATTACAGACGCTCTAAATGGGTTGGTGCACACCTCAGGACCCTCAACATCTGGCAACATGCAGGATTCTGATGACAGCGACTTCAGCGAGTTTGGACCTTCCCACAAGGTACGCCGATGCGGATGCGGAAAACACGGATGGAATTGCGGAATCCAGTCAACGGAATTTAATGTATAATGCGGAATGTCACGGAATTTGTCAAAGTTTGGATGAATTAATCAAAGGAAGGTCATTACACTTAAATCGTGATATGGACTAGTATCTGTAAAAATTAAGCCGCAAAAAGGCTATTTAAATATAAATCCTGCATGTTCTGTGTCTGTCTGAATCATAGTCTATGGTCTGAATGAATGTCACGCGGTTTTGTTTACTACACACATACTGAAGCACGCGTGACGCTCGCGGTGATTTCAGCATCTGCCTTCTCACTAAATAAGACATAAATACATGAACAACATCCCCAGAACTGCTCTGAGAGTCAAAAATATATAGTTTCTGCCAGAAATTTATTATATTGTTCAGAAGAATGTACGTACAACTACTACTACTACAATTATTAAGGAATAATCACAATATTTCTTCCATGTTTAAATTTTAATAGTAAATTAATTTTCATTAATTAAAAGATAAATTAAATAAATGTGTTATGCCTTCATTCGATAACCAGAAAAATGTAAATACACAACGAATGTAAATACAAGAATTTCTAAAGAAAAAAAAAAACATTTCATAAGGCTATAAATAAAAGTAGTTTTTATGCATTCAAATAATTAGACATATTAAAACACAGAATTTGGTAACAATAAACAAGGTGAAAAAAATAGAAAATTTCATAAGACCCTAAACATGTCATTTTTGTTCAACTTTTTAATAGATTTGATGTTGAATTGTATAAGTTTCATTATTTAATTAGATGTGCTTTTGATTAATAAAATTTAATTTAACCATTTAAAAAGGTGTCCAGACAAATTTAAATGAAAAAAAAAACCAGAATCCAAAAAAATTTAAATTTGGAATTTAAAAAAAAAATGGAATTTGGGAAAAAATAAAACGTATTTCATAGGGCCCTAGCATAGTTATTTATTTATTGGGGTAATTTGAAGGTTGTGTCAAAAAGTTGTTCTAGTCTAGTAGATAAATAGCTGTATTCTGTACGTTTTTACTCGTGTACAATAATTTTCTTCCAAATATGATAATTTTAAGCTTCTGGTACGATACTTGGACATTTCCAATCTGGCAACACTGATACGGATTCGATGTCCGCACGAAAACGCAAGGGTGGCGTTTTCAGATTTATCCACTCCGGGACCCGGTTTCAAAAAATATCGGTTTCACTCTCCCAAAACACCGGATCCGTCTGGACGAAACGCCTTACGATACGAAATTTATGCGTATACAGCTAAACGCGTCTCCGTGTGGATGGGGCCTAAGTATCTTCTTGCACTGGATCTTGTGTGGTGTTAGTGCTCACTGCCTGTGTGTAGGCGTTGTAGGCGCCCAGGTGTAGGCTCATGGGACTAATGACACCCAGCTGGGAGGCCACCTGCTGCATACGCCTGATTCCTCTCTCCTTCTCTGTGTCTGCAAACTTCACCACCAGACTAGAAGATGCACCCTGAGGGGATAAAGAAAACCAAATAAAAGAAACTGACCAGTCTTGAGGTAAAACATGCAGTGGGTGATGTTAAAACAAAGCACAAAGACTCTGTAGTGAGTAAGTATGACTATCTAAACAATGTGCTAGTGTGTTGTGTTATGCTTGTAGGTGTGACTGTGGGAGGAATTCTGAATGTGACCGTGAACGGAACACTAACCGGGAGAGTGCGGCTGCCGTGGAGAGTGCTAATGGCCGCCTGCGCTTCTGCATTACTCTGGTATTTTACAAATGCACAACCTGCAACACACAACACATTATTAGACAAAGCCAGAGCGATGTGGCAAACACATTAGGCTGACATGTAATAGTCTAAAACAATGCATCATCAAGTGGGGGTTTTTAAACATCCAATTAAACCAATTAAATCAAATACAACAAGCTGAGTTTGGTACTAATGCCCACATTATTTCCCAAGGCCTATGTCTGTATATATGGGAGGGTAAAAGTGAAACAGTTAATGATTTACTACAGCAGGTGCATCTGTTCCATTCACACTCACACGTAATTACCCAGAACACACATCCATCACGTTATAAATCACAGCCTGTCCCGAACGGACTATCATTCATTAGCCAACATATGCATGAGTGAACACACTGCTGCAACCCTACTAGTGTTGTATTACTACAGATGTGCCTGCAATCTTACTGAAAGAGTCTTCAAGTCAAAGACAACTGGAAAGCCTTACTAAAACCATTTATTTCCAACAATTTATCCGATCTATATTATGTGGTTAATTTGCGGTCAATGCTCAGAGTGTGAGTCTGTGAAAATGGGGCTCACTGAAAGAGTATTTTTGTAAGGGAATGTAATTGACACAGACAGAAACTCCACTCCATCTGAAGAAGAAATGCAAAGAAAGAATAATAATGGGTCAATATTTTTTTTAATTATTATTAAATAAGTATTAAATTATAAAAATCATTAACAAAAATATCTGTGAAAAATAGGATTCACTAAACGAATAAAAAAAATTTGTAAGGGAGTGTAATTGAACACAGGCAGAAGATCCACTTAAACCATCTCTTCCAAACAAGAAATGCTAATAAATAAATACATAATAGCAAATATGTTTTTTTTTTTTGTTTGTTTTTTTTATCTAAACAATAGTAAACTATCAATTATTATTACTGATTAATTATTATATAGAATGAGAATATATAACCAAATATAACCAAGGTTAGGTGGGGGGAAAAGTAAAATGATAGTGTTTAATATTATATTAGGATACACAATTCTTCATTAATATTTTTGTCTTGTTTTTAGTCAAAATATCAAAATATCCTTAAAACAAGACAAATTTACCTGAGCAAAATTGCAAAAAAAATGAAATTTGTTTTCCTAGAATGTATATTGAAAATATGAGCACATATTTTTCTGAATACAGATTTTTCATTTGTTTTAAGCATACACTAACTACTAAAAACATATTTTTGTAAGGAAATGTAATTGAACACAGACAGAAAGTCCACTCCATCTCTTCTAAAAAAAGAAATGCAAAGAAAGAATAATAATGGGTAAATGTTGATTTTTAATTATTATTAAATATTAAATTATAAAAAAAAGATTTAAAAAATCATTAACAAAAACAACTGTGAAAAATAGGATTCACTAAAAGAATAAAAAAAAACATCTCTTCCAAGCAAAAAATGCTAATAAATAAATAATAGCAAATATGCTTTATTATTTTTTTTTATTATAACAATAGTAAATTATGAATTAATTAAATAATGATTATATAAAATATTAAAAAGCAATTCATTAAAAATACAATAATAATGATCATTTTTATTAGTAGTAGTACATATAAAAACATATAAATATTAATTATTATTAAATATCTATTAAATTATAAAGCAAAATCATTAATAAAAAATATTATTATTATTATTAACTGGTTAACACTATTCCTTGCAGGGGAAACACGCAGTGCACGTATCTGAATGTGGTTTGCACACCTTTGCTGGCTCCGTCAGGCCCTCGGAGTACTGTGCACTCCTCTATACTCCCGAACGGCTCAAACATTTTTCTGACATCGGTGTCTGACAGCTGTTTCCCCAACATCCCGACAAACAGCTTCCTGTCTACACACAGAAAGATAGATCATGGTAAGTATACATATATTAGAGAAATTGCTGTGTGGAATCATGTATCATTCTTAAGTGGTAATAACCATCAAATCATCGCAGCCAATATCTGTCACTCCATGTTAGTGTAAGCCTCATGGTGCGATAACATGAAAGGCCACTAGAGAGCCCTAGAGGACCGTCACTGGCTGAGCAACACAATGGCACTAGCTCATGTTTTGTTTGTGTATCAATGCAGAATAAAAATGAAAGAGCCATTTGCATTGTATTTTGGATTGTGTTGCTGTTTTCATCCAATAAGAGATGATTAATTCAGTCTGTACTCATTCCACACCCATTTAATGGGTTTAAAATGTTGAATTCTTGAATTAATACATTTTGGCATTTGTAATACAAATTATGAAGTGTGTGTGTTTACTTTGAAGAGAAAACTATCCTCATAAGTGAGCAAAATGTGACAAAACTGTCCTTTGAAGACATTCCTAAAGGTAAAAATGATCAAGTCAATCTTAAATATACATATACATACAATATAAATAGACATCCGTGTGTGTGTGTGTGTGTTATACCTCCTCTGCCCTCACTGTCCGCTGGCTTCACTTGAATGGGGCGGTTCATCTGAAACGGAGCACATGATCACATGATGAACTGCACTTTATAATCCAGCTCTTTCATTTCCTCTTGTGTTTGTGTGTGCTTTTATTGCAGAGCATCATGAATGTATGTGCATGATGTAGATCTCATGACCTGCCCATCTGCCTCAATATTCCAGAGTTCAAAGAAAAATCTCCACACTGGCTCTGCTTCTGTTGTGTTTCCGTCCATTTATCTCTGCTCTCTGCTCTCTGCATGTAGCCTTTGTACTTGTTTGCCTCTATTTGAGGCCTAATCACCATCTTCTCTCTCGCCCACTTTTATCTCTCATCAAGAATCAGTTTTATGCTCTTTCTCTCTCCATCACACCTAATCCTGCTCCTCTCTCTCTCTTTCTCGGGCACCAGGAAAAGCACACACCCACGCGGGATTGGGGAAGTGATGGGATTAAGCACGCTCGCTGGCTAATCTGGATTACAGACGCACGGCAGATTCAAAATGGTGAGAGATTCTGGGTTTGTGAAACAGAAAAGAGAAAGAGGCACCGAGGGAAAGAGAAGAGGGATGGTGATATGAGAGGGAAAAGAAACATGAAAATAGAAAGAGGGAGAGAGAGGAAACGAGAATGGAAAGGGGGGGAATCAAGGAAAATTAGAATATAGAAACAAATATAATCAAGGTTATGTGGGGAAAACGCTATTTGACAATTTTATATTAGGATACACAATTCTTCATTAATATCTTTGTCTTGTTTTTAGTTAAAATATCAAAACAGCCTTTAAACAAGATACATTTACCTGAGCAAAATTACACAAAAAAACTGAAATTTGTTTTCCTAGATTATATGTGTACATATTTTTGTTATGAATACTGATTTTACATTTTTTTAAGCTTACACTTTAACTACAAAAAAGTGAGAAAGTTATTAAATGCAGTTATTGAATGCTCTTCTTACAACTTCCACAAAGGGAAATCAATCAATATACTAAAAAATATTATTTTTTTTTTAAAGAAAGCAACACTTTTATTTATCAAAGACACGTTAAATTAATCAAAAGTAAAACGGCATTTACATTTAAAAAATTATATTTCAAATTAACGCAATTCTTTTGAACTTTCTATTCGTCAATGATTGCTGAAAAACGTTTTGTGAAAATTCAGCTTTGCCATCACAGGAATAAATTACATTTTAAAATACATATAAATTGGAAGACAGCTATTTTAAACTGTAATAATATTTCACAATTTTACAGTTTAGACTGTATTTTTTGATCAAATACATACAGCCTTGGTGAGCATAAGAGAGTGTGTATATATATATACACTTATATAAAATTACAGATATATCAGTTTCACAATTATGAGCACAACTGCTACAATGCTAAACTGTAAAAGAAATGTGACAACAAACTATTACATCTATATTATTCTCTAAAAACAAACATTAAATGATTGTTAGGACTAAAGAATTTTTTTTACCATGAAATGAAAAGAAAATATGAATTAGCATGAACAGTAGATAGTATTGTAATTCAAATGATTTCGCAATTCTATGTGGAATTGTTCAATCACTGCAGCTCTAATTTAAATAAATACAATTAGTAAAGGAGTAGATGAGAGGCAAGGAGAGAAGCTGTGAGCTAAATTGCTCAAATCAACATAAAGGCGTTAATTATGCAGCAGGTGACATTTCGGCCCAATTCAGATCGCTTGTTTTATCCGACCAGCAGTGATTGCTCATCTGGGGTCCGTATTGATCAGGCACTCGCTCGCAATCACTCACACACACATACAGAGCCGTATAAACCATACATAATGACTTTCACTATTTCACAGCACGCCAAAAATATATTACACGACTCACGGAGAAGGACACAAACAGAAGGGCATTTATCAGGATGACTAATGAAGCAGGTCTCATTGATTGCTGCAGTAATGTAAAGCACTGTAAAGATCTCCCACACCCACTATATGTCTGTCCTGGATCAGTTCTTTTGCTTTCCTGGTGTAACTCCCTCTGGTGATTACTAATCTGATCTCAGCTGTAAGAGCTTGTTTTGCAGCGCTTAAATCTGATTTGCCCAAATTGCTTTGTTTATCTTCAGAAAACACCGGCATACGGTGGGGTAAAATAACTTTTGAGGGCATTTTAGCATTGTATTGAGGGCAGCTGCTCCCAATTTACCTCACACACGAGGTTGTTTAATGGTTCTTCCGTCACTTTCAGGCAAGAAATCTTTTCTTGGACCCCCAAAATTCAAACTAGTGCTGGGCGGTATACTGGTTCATACCGAATACCGATGTTTATTTTTGTTATGATATGAATTTTTAAAATACCGCAATACCGGTGC